GTTTTGAAATGATTGGCTCACATTGATTCCTACATCATACAATAATTAGTTAGAATAGTTGAACCTAGCTACATATATATATATATATATATATATATATATATATATATATATATAATATATATATATATATATATAGAGAGAGAGAGAGAGAGAGTTAGGTTAATGTGTTTCTCACATTTATTATGTGCTACAATGCACCAGTAGGAATTTAGTAAATATAATTATATATTGTATTAAATAAAGATAGATATTAAATGATATCCATAATTGTATGTATATTAAATGATATCCATAATTATAATTTAATTTTATGGAAACTAATTAAATTCGTCATTAATGTCAGCAATAACATTCTTTCAGAATGAATTCGCATTTAGCTTTTTATGTATGAATTCGTGTTTTGTTTCAGGACACACTCAATTAAAATACAATAAATTTGCATTAAATATGAAGAACGAGAGTATATTCTACTAGAATACACTATCATTCTTCTAAAATACAATCTCATTCTTCTAGATACGAATTCATTCTGAAATAATATTATTGCTGACATTAATGACGAATTTAATTAGTTTCCATAAGAAAAGAATTATAGTTATGTATATCATTTAATATACATATAATTATGGAAATCATTTAATATCTATCTTTATTTGATTAAATAATTATTTATTTTTCACAAAATTCTTATTGGTGCATTGTAGTACACAATAGATGTGAGAAACATTTGAACCTACCTCTCTCTCTCTCTCTCTCTCTATATATATAATATATATAATATAGATATATAGATAAGATATATTATAAGATATCTATATATCTTCTATATGAATCTATATCTATAGTCTATAGATATCTATATCTCCTCTAATAAGGAAGATCCATTTTGCCATAATGTCAATCTCTCATGAGTTTTGACACTTGTCATTTTGTGATATTTTTGAATAAATAATATTCACATGTCAAATCTTAGGTTTTTTAAATTTTAAAATTAAAAACCTACATAATATTTATATATTTATATATGTAAAGTATTAAATGTCATAAATATGATATTAAATTGCAATCAATACATTTCTTTATTTCTTATTTTAAAATTTTATATTAAAAAATATTTATTGTTTACACTTTAATATTAAATTTATTTTTTAATCAACCCGTGTAATACACGGGTTTTACACCTAGTATATATATATATATATATATATATATATATATATATATATATATATATTCATTTTACCATTCATTTGAAAACACACACATATTTCCAAACACACATATAATCAAAATGTCTTCCAAACACCCCAAAGTCTTCCAACCCAAATGCTTCAAACCAAAATGCTTCAAACCCATTTGCACTTTTCGGTTATAATCTGGCATCGCCACCACCTTACCGACCACAAATGAATCCATCTCAAAACCAAGCGTTTGTAGGTAGTGTTCCAAGCTATTATTTACTACTGCAAATGCCACAACAATTTCAATTCCAATCCCCACCACCCCGGACAACATCCCAAATCCAAACGCAAACCCAATTCCAATTTCAATCTTAACCGCCTTTCACACTCGTAACCGAAACTCTTTCTGATTCAGAGCCTGAAGAACAACATCAACCAAAAAAATGGGAAGGCCGATTCGAGAAGATGGACTAAAAAAGAAGAGACATAATTAGCAAGGGCATGGGTCGACATATCAGAAGATAGCAACATGGGAAAGGGCCAATCGCGTGATTAGTTTTGGTTAAGTGTTACGGAGCGGTTTTGTAATAGTATGGGTCGAGACCCAGATATCGGAAGTGTGACCAATTTAACTCGAAATGGAATCTTGTTAACAAATTCGTGACACATTGGAATGAAATTTACACATACTTCGAAAAGCAATGGGCTAGCGGCGAAAGTGAAGAGAGTTTGTTAAAAAAACGCACGCGACATTCCAAGATGTCATGTTGAAGCCTTTTAAGTTCATTCATGTGTGAGAAGTTCTCAAAAGAAGCATTAGGTGGAAGGAACTTGCAACAGATGAAGACATTGCTAATCCGCCAAAAGGAAGCCGAACATCTTCATATTCGAGTTCACAACAAATATCATTGGATGGTCACATTGGCGTTGATCTTAATGATGATAACGACGACATCAAAGAAATACGCCCGCCTCCTCGTCCCATGGGAAGGGACAAAGCAAAAGCTCGAGGAAAAAGAAAAGGAAAAGCAATATTGTCAAATTCTTCGGTTGGAATGGAGCGGTCAACTAGATCGGAAGAAATAATGGTACAAATGACACAATTGAATACAACTTTGGAGAACCATATGGCTGAAACGATCAAACTGACAGAATATTCATTGTTGATGCAAGATGTGAAACACCTCGACCCCAAAATATCAGGAGGCGACTAAATTGGTGAAGGCTTTGATTAATGAAAAATATAAGCTCAAAAGCAATTGAAATTTGGTTGTTATATTTTTTCTCTAGTTTTTTTTTTAATAATTTTTCACTTCAAGTGTTTTTTTTTGTTTTTTTTTTTGTTTTTTTTTGTTTTTTGATTTTTTTTTTTTTTATATTTTAGGTTTTTATGTAATTTTTAATTTCATGTTATTTTTTATTGTTAGGATTTCTAAAATGTAAACTTTAATTTTAGTAGGGTTTTTATTAAAATAATTGAAATTTAAAAAAAAATTAAAAAAAAACCATAGGTAAAACTAGTTACCACACCCTAGTTCGTAGGTAAAATTGATAAAAAAAATATAAAAGATGATGTGACGCCTAGGTAACACCTTCTTACCATTGACAAAAAATGTATCACACCCTTTAGCCTCAGTAACTCAACACCCATTCAATTCAACTTAACATTTTTAACCCAACTCTTAATAATATGTAGGTTTTCATTATACTTTCCCATAAGTAATTATATAACAAAATGGCAACCGGAATAAATAAAATGAATAAATCCAAAAAATGGTAACCAAAAATTTTGGTTAACAATAAGAAATATGAATTAAGTGTTTACCAACTGGAAAAAATAAAATGCTTAAATCGAAGAAAAAAAAAAGTCTAATAGTGATTTTGAAATCCTTAATTGTATTATGACAATGACATTTTATTGAGATATTGATATCATCAACTACAAATGAATTAACCTACCCATTTCTTTGGAAAATATCATGACATTATCTTTAAAAATCTATATTTTCGAATATGCAATATACTTTTTATATCCTATAAATTCAATTTTTTTTTTCGAAGCACACGTTTTTATAATAGAATTTTTCGAAGTGGTCCCTTTATATATAGTGACTATATAGTCGGTGTGCTTCTCACCATATTTTTCATGAGTTCAAATATTACTTTTCAAAAATTCTGAAGAACCTGTTAAAGAAATAAGACCACATATCTTCGAACATCTTTGAAGAAATTCCGTTTTCAATTTTTTTTTTGCAGAAACAAACATATATACTTTATTATTCCATCGAAAATCATGAATTTGTTCAAAAACCATGACCTGGTTCAAAAATCATGAAGCTTATATCTTCGAGAATCTAGAAACAAACAAAATAAATCATGAACTATTTTCAAAATTCTCTTATGAACTATTTTCTATCTCTTGTTTTGAAAATCTACATGTGAAAATGTGTTGTAAACTAATATTTAATATGAAGGATTATTGAAAAATATATAGAAACTCATTGCTTGTGTTTTTGGTGTACAATAATCCATTATTTGGGAATGTATTATGTGAAGGAACTTTGTTAGAAATAAAAATGTTTTTTTATAAAAAATTTGCCATTACAAGAAAAATACCCTTTAATGACACACATTGCCTGTCATAAAAGGGTACAGATGACACGCAAATGCGTGTCAAGGAAGGCCATGTCATAAAGGAAGACGACACGTATTTGCGTGTCGTAACCTTACGACGCACATTTACGACACGCATTTACGACACGCAATGCATATCATTAAAGCCCCTGTCAAGAAAGGCCATGTCATAAATGAAGATGTCACACATTTTTGCGTATCGTAAATTTAAATGTTTAAAAAAAATATATTTATAGATTTATAAATTTTCAAATTAAATTTGCATTTAATGTCTCATAATAGAAAGTAAAATACCATATACAAAAAATACAATCCATGGCACAAAATTTAATTTCATACAGACCTATTTCTTACAATAAATGTACCAACATCATTCATCTAATCTACTTTGTGTTTCATACAAAAAATCTATTTCATGCAATAAATGTATCATCAAGCTTGGATATAGCTTTGTACATCTGAGGAACCGAAGGTGAAGGACGTAGGGACCTGGCTATGGCAAAAGACTGTTATATCCTTCTGTCTAAATACATGTTTTGATTAAGAGTAAGAGAAAAGAGAAGGGAGTTTATTTCAACAATGGGGGTATACCACCACCATGTGCAATACCAGCGTGGTTGTGAGTATCCTGGTGATTGGTAGATCACAATCATTCTATTATAAATTACCTTAAAATAAACATCTTCTTACTATGGAAGGTTATCAGTGTGTGTAATTATATTTATGACTACTATTACTAAAATTGGAGCATTAATTACTACACTTGCATGTATAAAAACCCGCACATATACGTAGATGCTAGTGAGAACTTACAAATGTATGATATAGTTTAATAAAATAAAGATTCATGAATTAAATTGAATATATATATATATATATATATATATATATATATATATATATATATATATATATAATTTGGTTACCTGTGCCAAACTTCCTAGAGCAAAAGCTGACATTTCACGTAGTTGAGCATCTGGTGATTGCAACATCTCAATTAGTGGACCAACAATGCCTCTTTGCACTATGTGAACCAATGAAAAGATTTGTGTGCATGTGTTGTTAGGATTGGTAGTATACAAGACATGAAGAAAAATATAGAAATGGAAATGAAGTGATAAATGATAATAAATGAATTAGCATTTCGGTCAAACCTTTGCAGTCTGTATCGGCAGCAACAAACTATCCAAGCAATAGGGCAACTTCCCTTTGATTTTCTGAACAGCTTAAACTGTAAAATTAATAAAAGAATTAAAATTGTTGTAGTTTTCAACAAATTGTTACTTTGCTATGAAAATAAGCCAATTTTCTTTGATATTTGAAGGCTGATCTTATGTGTAGGAGACATATAGAGTTCCAACAGGATAGTTTTAGGCATAGACAGAACTTGTAGGTTTGAATGCAACCCTTTAAAGGTATGTATCACATTACCTGAGCAATTCAGTTACTGGTTGCAATGCTCTAGCAAGAAGAACTTCCTTCTTAATGTTGGGGGATGAATGGAGAAGATTCCCGATCACACCAACCTGAGATATACCATTCAGAAATCATTCCTAGATACAACCAATCTTATGAGCTGAAAAGAAAAAAAAATGAATTTAAAAACTAGAACTAAACTGCTTCATAGTGGATTGTAGCATCTTCAGACCGTAACATTGGATTAAGAGTAGGCAAAGCATTACAGTCCACTATCTGCAAACATGGCAAGGTTCCAATGTTAGAAAACTTTGTCCAAACAAACCCCAAAACACATTTTATATCCATCATTCAATCTGAGTTTTGTTTTCATCATTTTAGCAAGCTAAGGTACGTAGGGCTCCTGTAGCAGCTCTCTGCACCTTTGCATCAATGAATTCAAGCAATTCAACAAGAGGAGGGATTCCACCTTCAACCTTGAACATAAGAATGTGATGTAAAACAAACTGAAATACACAAAATTGTAATAGAAAAGGGTACAAACGAACTGACCTAACACGGGTCTTGATGTTGCTATTCTCGTGAGCAAGGTTTGTAATTGCATCTGTTGCTCTCCTTATAACACCATTGACTGCTCTAGAGTTCTGGCCATCCCTGTGTCGCTTAAGGAGAGCAACAAGATGAGGTAGGGCTCCAGCATCAACAATGAGTTGTTGATGCTCTGGCTGTTAACAATTAATATCTTTTGCAAATTAATATTTTTTGCAAAAGAAAAAAAAAAGATTTAAGTAGTTTGTAATGGAAAAAATCTTTTGCTTTGCCTGTTAACAAACCATCTCAGCAAATCTCAGCAAATCTCAGCAAACATCAGCAAAAAATCCTTAATCAGCCAATCGAAAATCTCTAGTTTGTAATGGAAAAAATAGGAATAAAATGGGAAGAAATACTCACCTGGTCATCGGAAGAAGGCTGCCTACCGTTGCTTCATCGGAGGAAGAAAACAAGTCGAACTGATTGATGAGTCGTTGACCATAGATGGGAAGTGGAAGCGGACCAAAACAACTAAATAAGGTATCATAGGAAAATAAGGTATCAGAGGCAGGGGATTCGACCAAAATGGGGTCGGGATGCAGTCTCCGACACGGTGACGCTAATTAGTTGCAGTCGCCGGTGAAGTGAGATTAGCCTGATGAGGTCGCCAGTCGGTGAGATGAAGCGTTGTAGTCGTACTCTAGCTCGATCGTCTGGAGAATGTTGAAGTGAAAAACCCTAGTTATCGTGTGGGGGACTTTAGGGTTGTTTTGGGATGCTAAAGGGTTTGGTTAGAGGTATTAGTAGAGGGAACAAGGGATACTGAGAGAGGATCGAACAGGCGGGGGTTTTAGTTTTTTGGATTTCATTTACCGCCTTGGCTATTAAAACGCGCGTTTCACTAAAAATTATAAAACGAAATGCTTAGATGACACACATTTGATTATAAGCGCCCTCCGTGTTTTTTTTTCTGACATTAATTTTAAAGCACGCAAAAATGCGCGTCCTAAATCTTTGAAATTCCTAGAGAGCTGACATAATTTTAAGGTCACACACTTTTGCGTATCATAAATCCGTGCGTGTCATAAAATGCGTGCCTTTAAAGGTCTGTTTTCTAGTAGTGTTGATTATGTGATCGTTGTATTTTCTTTAATTAGTTTTGTGTATTGGAAAAGTGCCTCTCCTCAAATGTTTGAGGGTTCAAGTCTGATAATTGACAAAATGATTAGGTTTAACAGTAGGATTAGATGGGTGTGTGCGTTAGTCGTTCTAAAAAAATCATAAAAACCATATTAAATTATTAATATAAAAATGCGTACATATCACAAATCAAAAAAATATAAAACTAGTACTTCCAATGATTTTTTTAAAAACAATTTCTTCAAAGATGTAGGAAAAAAAATAACTATTTTAGATGATGGTAACTTGTGTAAAAGATAGTCTCTGGCATATTTATACTCGAGTTGCCAACGAGTTAAGAAGTATATACAAGTCCTAAATCTTTGTTACTATTGGTATCTCCTCTATCATCTGTCTAGATTCAACCACATTTTACCTATTATTTTTTTTTCCTTTTTAATATTCCACATTGTGGCCAAATTATAGGTAATAATGGCCAAAAATCTTGATTCTACACAACCCATTTGTTTACACTAAGTTTCTGCACTATGCAGTTCCGAAGTTATATGTTGCCATTTAGGCATTGCAAACAACATGTCGTGTGTCATTAGCCTGTAACAGGCTAACAGCTTCATGGATCTCTACTATCTTAGTCAAGAAATTTGAATAATATTTATATGTAGTCCCTAATACATTTCACTCATAAGCTTTTGATCATCACTTACATATATTAATCATGTATTGAATTACATAAAAACTACTCTTAAATATATTGAAATTGTAACCAAATGTGAGAATCACATTAAAACTACCTAATATCCATCTTTTTATATAGATGGGGAACCAATGATGTATTTTCTTCATACAAAAGGGACTTGATCTGTCGACATTACAAAAATTGGACCAAAGGTGATAATCTGACTAAACTACATGAACCAAACTATAACTTATTCCTAAGATAATAAATAATCCAAATTTTTCTGAATAAAGGTCATAAAAAATAATAATTCAGCCCCAACATACCAGAAAAAGAACAATCTTCAAAATTTGTTATGTGATAAAATAAATGCTTTGAAATTTAAATAACTTCGAAAACGTAGACACGAATTCGATGGTAAACTTATTAAGCATTTTGACAAATCTTGTTTTCGAACATTGTTAAAAGATTAATTTTTAAATTTGAAAATAATTATTTTAGATAGAAACAATATTTAAAGAACTTTTTTTTTTGGAACGGCAGAACTTTATTAAAAAAGAACAACTAGCAAGAAGCTAGAAAGAGATTACATCATAGTAGTAGCTAAAGAGGGGTTATGAAGCCACTCAGTCCAACGTAATTTTACTCTACTACATCTATTAGAAATTATAAAGAAAGACTTCTCAACAACTTCATCAAAAAGAAGCAATTTCTTTGGTAAAACCGTTCCAAAAATAGAGGTATTGCGAAAGTTCCATAAGCACCAAAAGGAAGTGATAATAACCGCATCAAAAACATTCCTTTGACCTCTACGTAAATTGACATCATCCGACCACTTGATTAGAGACTGCACCGAAAGATGAGCCGGGAGAGATAAGCCCCACCAAATAGGTATCCTAACCCAAATATCTATTAAGTCAGGATAAGCTGTAATAATATGATCAATGGTCTCCATTGCACCCACACAAATCGGGCACATAATAGAAGGAATCATAATACTTCTAACGATTAATCTCTCCCTCGTAGGAATACTAGAAAGCTTAATCCTCCAGATTAGAATATTGAGTTTAATAGGAACCCAATTAATCCATCTAGTAACAATACCCCCCCCCCCCCAAAAAAAAAAAAATGAGACCACTATCCAAAGCATGGCGCGCAGACGAAACAGTGAAAGTGTCAGAAATATCAAGAGATCAACCCAACCTATCCGGAACATGCTGAAGCTGCACATCGTGCATCTCCTCCAAGAAAGAATCACATTGAACTTGTTCTATACCACCTCTAGGCATACGTCTAAGGACATCTGTGTTCCAACCAATTAAAAAACGATCCATGACATTGGCTGAACGGTGAATATCCAAAGCAAAAATTCTATGAAAAGAAATAGATAAAGGACTATCACCTTTCCAAGTATCATGCCAAAAAGAAGTATGAGCCCCATCACCAATCCGAATAGGAGATAAATTATGGAAGTCAAAGCCCCGGTCTTTTATTATCCACAATCCTTGTAATACCTCTCCAAGGACCCATCAAATGTCTCCGCGGAATCAAAGGATTTGTGAACTCACCCAAACCATATAAAATTTTAACCACCCTAACCCATAATAAATTTGGGTTATGAAAAAAATGCTACTTCCAACGTAATAATAAAGCCCTATTAAAGGCAAAAAGACTACCAATCCCCAAACCTCCAACAACTGTGTGGGCCAGAAATTTATCCCATCTAATCCAATGCATACGATGCTCATCCATCTCAGCTACCCCAAAAAACGAGGATCTCAACCTCTCCAACTGATTTATCACTGTTACTAGAACAAGATAAATGGACATCAAGTAACTGCCAATAGAACCCAAAACTGCTATAACCAAAGTGTAACACCCTGTTTATTTATTAAATAAATAAACAAATTAATGAATGAATAGTAACCCTAAAATTAATAATTATATATCAAGGTGTTGGTTTTGGGAAGCCAAATGCCTTAAGTTGGATATTTCGGGGGTTAAAGTATAAGTTCGGGATTTATTTTGTGAAGATTTTAGAAGACAGGGGGATACTTGGTAAGTATTAGACTTAATATGTAAAGGATTTAAGGGGCGGGGTTAAAAAGGTAATTGTTGGACTTGCTTTGTAAAAGACTCTCAAGTGGAGGGCTATTTGGTACGTTTTGGACCTAAAATAAAAGGAAATTATGGTATTAGGGGCTAAAGGGTAATTGTTGGATTTAATTTGAAGGAAATTCTTTGGAGGAGGGACTGAATGCGGACAAAAGGTGTTAAGTTTGAAATGGGACGGGGGCTTATAACCCGTCACCATGCTCATAACCCCCAAAACCCTAATGAATGGATCAGCCGCCACTTTCCTTCCTAACCTCCGGCCGCTGCTGGTGACGTTGTAGGTAGCCGAGGGAGACTGTTGAAGACCGGGGATGGGATCGTAGGCTGCTGCCACTCCCGTTGAGGACGTCGCAGTCGCTGGGCGTCGCGACTGCTCCTTTCCGACGTCACCCTCCGACCGTTTTATCGTTACCACCACTCCGAACTGTTCCACTGCCATCGTTACCTGCTGCTGTTCCGCCGCTGCTTCTGTCGCTGGCGATGAACCGCGAGTAGCCGCTGCTCCGTCGATGCTGTGACCGCTGAAACCCAGACGCCGCCGCCCCTACAGCCATTAAAATCGAAGACCGATAGCTGTTGCTGCTGCTGTCCGTTTACCTCGCGCAACCGCCGCCACCATCGTAAGATCTTGATGGGTGCGTTCTTTTTCGTGCTCAGCTCAAGAGAGTGGGTGTTTTGGTGTTGTTGGACAAAGGAGGGTGTGCTTGTTGGCCGGAAACCACCATGACAGCCAACCATGGTGGCTGCCACCGCCTTCCGCCACTGGCCACCGCATGGGTGGTTGTATGTGTGCTTGATTACTTTATACATGTGTGTATTTTCGATGGTTTCCTTGTAAAATTGTAATAGGAGCTTGAATAATGAAAAGAAACTTGAAAACCACCACCTTAGGGTGGTGGCTGTCGCCTCCTGCCGCCACCGACCGCCGTGTCGGGTGGCGGTGTGCTTTGCTCGTCGAGTTGATTCGTTTGGGGTGTTTGAAACCCTAATGGGCCTTGTAAGCCCTAATGGGCCCAATGAAGCCTAATGGGCATAAGGAAAACCCTAATGGGCTTAATGATATTCTAGTGGGCCTAATAGGCCCAATAAAGCCCTAATTGACCTAAAAGCCCAACAAATTGATAAATGAGCTGGTAATTGGGTTGGAAAAACCATAATGCCAATAAAACCCTAATTTGGGGAATTAATCGGGACACACACGTGAATTATTTAATAACTTGGAATATTAAATAATAATCATTGGCAAAGATTAATCTAAGCAATATTGGACTTAATGGATTAAGTCCCTAGTGGGTTAAGTCCTTAATGGGTTAAGTGTAATCGTCATCTTATGTGAAACCCTAATTTCACTTGGGTTTATTGTGGGGCCTTTTATTGGGCTTTGATGATTGGGCTATTAAATGAGCCATCCAAGATCAAGCAAATGGACTAGAATAGTTAATGGGCTTTGAGGTAAGGCCCATATGAGGAGTTGGGCCCAATTTAGAAAATTGGGCCATAGATGGGCCATAGTTTGGGCCTAGATGGTTGTATAATATTGGGCCCTTAGAATGAAACATGTTGGACTGGACTTTTTGGTTGGGCCTTAGAATAAGACCATATAGGGGTACATGCCAAATTTGGAAAATTGGGCCATATGTTGGGCCTTGATTCCAAGTTTGACTTTGGGCCTATGGATTGGGCCTTGGGCTTGAATAAAGCCAAGCAAGGGGGGGTAATGTAGTAATTACCCAAATTATGTACTTATGGTTATGTAGTGGAACCCAATTATTAATTGGGTGTTATTTTGGTATTGACAGTTCGGGAATCTATCATCCAGCAGTTGGGGTTGAGTCTGCAGGACTTCAGCAGTGTGGGATTGTGTCTATGGGACTTCAGCAGTGTGAGGTGAGTTACCTTCCAGTAGGGATGGGTCTAAGGCCACAATGCCGGCCCACCAACAGGGGTAGTTGGTAGATAATTGTCTTTGTGATAATTATCTTGGTATGTTTATGTGATATGCTCATGAGATATGCTTATGAGATATGCTTATGTGATATGCTTATGTGATATGCTATGGGTGTTAGTGGTAGTAGCAGTGAATAGTTTTTCCCTGACTCGGTCGTTAGGACCAAAGGGTAGGTCAGTACCCCAGATATGCCTAACTGTATGATCATATCTTGTTATTGTATGATAGTGGTAGGGGGTGAAATAGTCCCCGATTACCGGTTGAAAGATACCAATGGCGGATACCGGTTGAAAGAATACCGATGGCAATTACCGGTTGAAAGATACCGATGGCAGTTACCGGTTGAAAGATACCGAAGGGGTATACAGAACCCATGCAATGCTTATGTGTCTCTTTATGATATGTTAGTATGTAATCAACATGTTTATGATGTTATTATGTGATTAGTATGTTTATGATATATTATTATGTGATATTGGTAGGGGTGAAATAGTCCCCGGTTACCGGTTGAAAGATACTGATGGCAGTTACCGGTTGAAACATACCGATGGTATTATGTGGTATGTGGTGTGATGGGGGAACTCACTAAGCTTCGTGCTTACGGTTTACAGTTTTGGTTTCAGGTGCTTTATTTTCAAAGGAAAGGAGCCGGCTTGATCGCAGCGCATCACACTATGATTTCCGCACATGAGATCCTTGGGATTACACTCTGATATGGTTTTATGGCATTATGTTTTTGTTGGGTTTTGAGCATTCTAACACTCCTATGGTGTACATGCAACCCTATAAACCTTGGATCTATGTTTTCTCTATTATACATGCAAATATTAACTATTCCAAGGTTTCATCCTAACTAGCATATTATGAAGCACCTATACTACAAAGTTCTAGTTAGATGACATACCTTTTGATGTAGCTTGATGTCTTCAAGCTTTAAGAGCGTAGCCCCAATAGTGTGGAAGCCTCAAATAGAATCACAAATCACCAAACACCTTGGAAGAACTTGAGAGAATATGTATGCACACTAAAATCGGCCCACTCTTATTTTCACACACTTGTGCCAATTTTGTGAGCCAAGGACCCCTTTATATATTATGGAGGATTAGGGTTACATCCATGTAAACCCTAATACCCATGACCTTTCATTTACATAGGATCCATGGGTTAAAAGCTCCATGGACCATCCATGAAAGCTTAGCCCAACCTAAATGAACTTGGCCCATTCCATATATATAAGAGTCCATATTTAATTAGTTCTTTTTGATCACTTAATTAATTCTAAATTAATTCTTGATCAATACTAATTAAATAATATGATTCCATATTAATATATTAGAACTTATAATATATTAATATAAATCATAAATATACTATTCTCAAAAGACTATCCATATAAATTGTGCCGGTGAAGTGCAACCCAAATGGACCATGCCGGGTCGGGTCAAGTACATACCAAATATAGTTATGGACTTAGACATTAATCCAACAGTCTCCCACTTGGATAAGTCTAAAACTATTATTGAGTATGACTTCCAAACCTAACTGGCAATCGTACCTCTTAAAGCCGCTGTCGAACTCTGACCTTGTCAATGACTTGTCCATTAGATAAGGGATCATATATTCCTCCATTCTAGATATCATATGGACTGAGACATGGATTATAATCATTCTCTCTGTCCATTTGTTGTTTCCCGATTTTCGATTTATGATGACTGACTGATTGAACAAATCAAATCAGTCCTGGCTTGGCCAAGCACTCACATGTGTCATCGCTAAATCATCGAGGGGCCCACAGATATCGCTTTTATCCCGAAGGTAAAAGGAATGGATAAACTTCGACTCATATGGCTTGTTCTACTACTTGTTGAATCATACATAAAGGCCCGTTTTATAACATCGAGTTACCAAATGCGTTTTCGTGCAATCAATGTATAACCAACTCATAGTAACAACTCATATCTCTAGGTTTGAAGAATATAAGATATTATCGTCTCATGATCACTCGTGATAAAATCCATGAAGTGATTCAAATGAGCGCGGGTTGAATCCAATACTCAGAACTTATGAGCACTCATGAGTGTTGTACCACCACTTTTTCCACCAACTTGGACCTCTACAAACCAACCCATGACAGTCTTGATTCATATCTACTTCCAACATATGACCGACTGTGGATGGTTTGAATAACTTAATCATTCAGGAAGAGCGACTTAGTTATTCTGGAAGTCAAAACATGCAAAGTGAAACACAAGAATAAATGAATCAAATATGGTATCAAACCCTATGAATATAAATAAACACTTTTATTTATCACCATACTGATTACTCATTATTCATTGTTTCGGTTTTATCAACTTTATACTTGAATTAAAAACACTAGTTGTCCCATGCTCCAAGCATGTACACTATGTTTTTCTTAAACAATAGCTTTGCCATACACCAAGTATGCACTCTATGTTTTCTATGATCCTTACTTTGTGAAATAAACCAATTGAACATAATTTCAATGATTCTAATTTCACACTCCCAAATCCTTATCGAAAAATGTGAGAATTTCAAATTCCTATCATTTATCGAAATCTGTTTAGATTTTAAACTTATATGCACTGACCCTCCTGTAATGAATATGTACAAAGTCACAAAAACTTGTCAACAATCATTATAAGGTATTCCAGTGGAGATCAACTCCATGGAAACTAAGTCTCATATTCAAAGTACATTGCTTTAGACATGCTTCTTGCATTAAGTTTTCTAATCTTACACAGATAACTTCCACCTATGGAGACAACTCCATATTCTCATTTTGACTATCACTTCTGAACAAGAGATGCCTCTTTTCAGAATATGTCAATATGGTCCTTCCAAAATTAGCACTATACTTCCAACTGTCCCTGAGCAACCAATCTTTGGTAAACCTCATATTGTCCTCGACAATTGCTTAATCATTTTTGTCATATCCAATTCTAGACCTTTTCCCTTCTTAATGCCTCTGGGCATTTGGAAAAATTTAGAAATGACAAATATTATAGCACATGCAATCGATCCTGTACCCAAAGCAAATGGTACACGATTCATGATGTCTCACATAAAGACATGATTCTAGACCAGTCTTTTGCTACAATATTTTATTTGCCATGTTTTCAAAATTGACTATGAAGAGGGATGTCGTAATCATAATCGAATTTTGAGAACGCAATATATAGAATTTCCTTAAGTTGAACCAATCAACATGAAATTCATATATATATTCTTGACTAAAGATGATTAAGGTCTCAATCTAAGCCTTTAGAACTGAAATGAAGTATATCCTCTCCCTTAATTATAGCAAAACAACTTTTTCAATCCCTGCAGCCTCACGAATTGAAACTTTTGTTTTCTATAATTAACATTGCTAACTTGCAACACTAACAATAATTATCATGTTCCCACTAACATGATGATTATTAGCATAACACTTATGCTCCCACTAGCTTTGACATGTACTCAGAAAT